TCATTGTAGGAGATGTAGTTCCTGTAGTAACTACCATAGTACGACAAGTAGTGAGCATGATCCTAGCAGAAGATCCACAGTGGCTTGCTGAAAATACGTGGGAAAAACACGTGGCCTCCCACAAGATCCAGATACAAGACAAGATCCAGCCAGAGATCCAGACTAGGTACTGAAGATGGATCCTCTACAGATGCACGAGATCCTTGCAATAGGTCCTCTAGCTCCATATATATAACACTATTGGCTATTCCCATCCTCTGCTCAATCCCAGACAAGGCGGAGACTAGGAGAATGCCGATCCTGGAGGAACCAAAAACCTGACGCTGGTTCCGTGCTGCTTGGGGGACCCAAAAATCGCGTTGATTACGGCTTACCGTAATTTATCCTAAGAAGCATCTTCGTTGGTCCCCTTTTCTTTAAGGGAAAGAAAACGCGTCAAAGGTGCTTTTACTTGTTCAAGATGAAAAATATATATAAGTAAGGTCTAAGTTGACCAAGCGAGAATTGGGCACGCACTTGCTCTTCGCAGGCATCTGCTTCGCTGCTTTTTTTGTCAACCAGTTTGCGCACACGATTTGCCTGCTCATTGACATTCTTCGCGCACCCCGCGGAATACAGAAAGAGCGAGCTGCAGGAGTCTTTGATCTTCGAGCGACCACGACCTGTACTAAGTCTAACAAGACTCCAACATCAAAATCAAAAAAGGCGCATTTTTGCTCCTGCTGTGGTGCTTTTTCGGGTTCTGCCTTCCGTAGAACGTGTGTCTCTTCGTATGACGCCCTTCCACACAATGGCTATGGTGGAAGAGGCGACGTAGTGGTGTAAGAACCTTTCTTGAGCTACCATTTTGACAAACGCCCAACTCAATTTAGGAATTCCGTCGAATACTATTTTGACATTGACAAACGGTGCCTCAATAAGAACATGAATTTTTGTTTAGGATGAGTCTTTTCCTTTTTGCACGTTCGTAGGAGAGCGGACAATGCCGCTGCCTTTCAAGCACAAGCTGGTCAGGACAGTGCCGCTGTCTTTCAAGATCTTGGTCATTCACACCTTGGTCGTCAAAACGTCAACTAAGTACTCTTCTTTTTCGTCTCCTCTGTGAGTGGATGTGGAATAGTTTTTTTGACTTTCTAAGTAGCTTAGATTTGAGCTGGTCAACAAAGGCAATTTTTTTTTATCAGCTCAAAAGCGACTACGTTTTTCTCATTTTACAGCTCAAGAACGATAATGGTTGTCTCACTTCCATCTCTTTTGACACATGTGGTCCACACGTTGCTCAATCTTCCTTGTTGCATTCATCCGCTAAACATGTAACTCCAAAAACACTACTACTATAGAATAGTGTAGGCTAAATTCCCCTGTAGTCCCGAAGAAGTAGACTACATAGTATAGAGCCCCCCCTCAAGCAACTTATCTCCCTGTGAGGCTCCCTCTTGTTAGGTAAATGAATGAGTGAAGAAGGCATCAAGTAGGCTATATTCCCTTGTCCCTAACTTCTACGTCCTATAATTTTTGATCCTTTCCCATCTGTCGTCACCTCGTATCGATTCTGCTCGTATTTTTGATCCTAGGTAGAAGCTCCTCCTAGGTGCTAGGTAGAAGCTCCTCCTCGTTGCTAGGTAGAAGCTCCTCCTAGATGCTAGGTAGAAGCTCCTCCTCGATGCTAGGTAGAAGCTCCTCCTAGATCGTGGTCATCGAGACCGAAAACAGTACTAGATATAGAATCTTCTTACCTGATCTACTTTATCTTCATACTATACCACGAAGATGGTTCCGTTGTGCGGCTCCTCCTATAAGGTGTTTCCTGATTTATATTATGAGGAGCCGATTTCTGAACGGAGAAGAAGCTTCTTGTTCGGTGTATCAGGTGGTGGTCACAACACAGGAACTGCATATTATTCATTCATTCATTCATTTACCTGGTCTCATTACAACAAATAGTTCTTTGACAAATCGGTTTCACTACTTTTCGTCGTCCTGAATCGGTCTAGGGCAGCCCACTTCAATAGGAAGTGTTTTAGGTTAATACTGAGAGTGAGAGCTTCTCGCGACGGCGGGTTCGGTGAATAAGTTGATAGCGGGTTTGCTTCGTTTCGATCGTGTCTCCTTGGTTTATTATGCTGATGGTGAATATTGGTTGTCGGTCATCGGTTAAAAAAGGCGGTGCCAAATGATACCCACCCAGGTGCCACAAGCCCTTCCCTTCGGACTATTCGCGCATACAAATGTGTGCTTTATTAATAGTTTTCAAAAGAGCCTGAAAATGCAAAAAAGTGAGCTGATGAATGCGCAAAGGGTGATTATGTAATCCTCGTTACGGTTGGTCTGACTCCCCTGTTCCCCGTCATGATCCTGCTGTCCCGCTCAGTAGCCCCCGGCCTTTCCTTTCTTACGCACCCCTTCATGTTAGGATGTCGTTGATTGACAATGTAACTGCTGACTTCTTGGCGGTTCTGAAGCGGGGAAAGTATGAGATCTGCAAAAAGTATCTCCTTGATAGGCCTTTTTTTGAAGGAATACAAGAGAGAAGTTCGGACAAAGAAGACCAGGCGCCAGGCACTACTGCGAGCAGCTGCTACGGATTTGATTAACGGAGAGGAGGAAGAAGAGCCAAAAGGGGACGCGGTGGCGGTGGAAGGGCTACAGGAGATCACACACGAGAGAGCGATGGCAATGACGCGCTTGCTTCGCAGTGGCTGCGCCGGAAATGCTGGCCGTAAGAGTTGGAGGCCCTTTGCCGTATTACCGACGAAGAACGCAGAACAATTCTAGCGCCAGGGCTGAGATTAGAAAAATCATGCTGCAAGATGATGCCTGGACGTGGGAAGAAGAGCCCAAGGCGAGGACTATGAAAATGGACTCGCCTGCAGCCAAAATGGTAGCAACTAAGGTGAACGAGCTGAAAATGGTAAAGACGGCGCCACTTATGTTCCGGGGAATCTCCGTGGATGTGATCACTGCAATCGAAGACGAAAAAACAAGAGAGCAGCACGTCGAGGAGCCTCTTCAGGTTACCTTGCCTGGGGTAGACCTTGCTGAGGCTCCTCCGTTAGTTAAGGAGAAGGGGGCACGAGTAGCAGAGAGTTGAAAAATGTGGCACGCAATGAACACGCTGAGGAAAGAAGAAAGGCCAAGCCTTAAAGGTAGCGAAGTGAAAAGAAGCACAGAGTTAGCATAGAAACAGGGCGCGTCTCTTGTTGCAGTTATGTGAAAAAACTGCATGTTTGAGACTTGGCGTGACCTCCTTGAGAAGGTCCTTGCGACGAATGCGCGTCGCTTGCTTGACTCGTGTCACGAGTCTTGTTCTCCCTTCTCTGCTGGTTTTGTGGGTGTTCGTTGACGTGCTTTGCCCGTCGTGTCTGTTAAAAACAAGTACAGACAGCTCCTGATGATGTGCCCGGATTAAACATATTGATGATCTAGAGGTCTCTTCGGCATACGCGGCATGTCACCACGTCTTTGATGTTTTTGATGTGAACCGTCTATGAACGATTGGATCCAGAAGTGCCTTAGGCTGGGGGTACATGCGCAAGTAGTGTGTATAGCCGGTCAGAGAGTGGGCACAAGATG